ATAATACAAGTTTTAAAACAAATATTTTCACATAAATTTTATTATACAATATATTGATAGAAATATAAATATTTTAAATTTTTTTAAAAAATTAAATTCATAAAAATACTATATATTATATAATAAATTAAAAAATTTTTATTAACTCAAAAAATATTTTGAAGAATATAATAAAAATAATGTATTTTAATTTTATCTCTAATTATAACAAAAAAAATTAAAATAAAAGTAAATATTTAAAAAAACAAATATTTTATTTTTTTATATAATTATAAAAATAATAATTAATGATAAAGTCTTAAACAAGGTAATATTAATTATATATTAAAAATAAATTAATTTCAATGTACTTGAATTCATAAAAAATATAATTATCAATATGTTTGTTTTGTAATAACAAATTACTTAATTATCAAAAATTAAAAAATTAAAACAAAGAACTTTAATAATTGTAAGATATATATTTAATAAACTCAAGTTTTTGATTTTTATTAATAAAATATTTGTAAATATTTTTCAAAACCTTTAATTTATAATATTTTTTGAATTTTGTTCCTACTAAAGTAAAGAGTTATAAATTTTGTTTCTCAAAAAATATATATAAGTAATCTATAAAATTTTATATTCTAAATATTTTAAAAACCTATTATTATTTACTATATATATATAATATAAAAATTCAAAAAGACCTATGAATTAATAGTGTAATGGGTACACTCCCAGGTCTCCATCCGCTATGTGTTAGTTCAATTCCACTCAAGAATGACACATGCAATTTAGGTGAGGTTTTTCCAGACTGTACTACATCACAATATATAGATTATGGGAAACTATATCTCCTAAAGAAAATTACTGTCTGATCATGGTTTCACGAACAGGTCACACAAGTTATGGTCAGTTTTAGCACCTACCATAACAATAATATTATGCCAATTGGAATATATAAAGACTGAAAAAAAAATCGATTGGTCCACTTCCAACGATCTAGATGTCGATATCTACCTCTTCTCAAAAAACTTACTTGTGAAAGATTAAGAGATCCTGGTCACTTGCACCAGTCGAAGATGTAATGGGCTGGACACATATTGGAAGACATGCATTATCGATCATCAACAGCTACCACAAAAGGACAACCTACTCTACCAAGGTTGAGTAATGTTGAATCAAGACTCATGATGGGAAAATGCAGAAGTAGATTCTGGAAGAAGAAATTCGGAAACAATCACCAAGGTAACCAATCCAATGGGAAGAGCAATCTACTACAAAGTAACCAAGAGAAGCCTCTGAAAGACCATATTTAAAGAATAGTTAAAAATGGTTAAATAGAAAATGAAAGTCAAACATAATACACCATTCAATCACTGGGATCTCACATCAAATTAAAAAGTTTGAATAATAATAGGTAACCCTAGCAGTCTAAATATAGTATGATGTTCATACTGGAATACAAACAATTCAATATCCCCATAATGATAATATATTTCAGCTCTTTGATAATATAAAAATATAAGTCCATAATAGATTCTTACAAATATCACTACCCAGGCAGAGCAGGGATACTGACATATAGTAATAGTACCTTACAGATAAAATTAAGTGGATTTATAAGATATGAGATTAGATAGCACTAAAATTAGTTACACAAATCATTCATATAATCATATGTACTATCCAACCTAACTCTAATAAATCACTGTCAATTATGACTTTAATAAAAAAAAAAAAAAAAATCCAAAAGACAATATTTGCAAAAAGAAAAAGTTATAGTAATAAATAATTTTCTTTTTAATTATATTATGAATATATTTTTCAAGAATATAACTCTAAGTATATATATATAAAAAAATAGAAAAGTATAAACTTTTTCTAATTAGATAGTAATAAATATAGTATTATTAACAATTTTCCACTGATCTTCTAATCACATACAAAAAAGATATTTGCAAAAGGTTTTTTTTACTTTTTTGTTAAAAAGTCAAACCCTTTCCTTAAAACTTCTTGAAAAGTGATTTCAAGAGTCGTCTCTATCCTTCTTTATTTGTTTACAATCCTCTTTGATCAAAAACTTGACTTCTGATTATCAAAAACAAGCCAAATAACATCTTTGATATCAATAGCAAGAAAGTTTTCAAAGGAAAAAGAATCAATAGAGAAGTACAGTATATGAAGACTTTCTCTATCTTTGAAGCAAGAGGTATATAGAGATTTTTGATAATAGAAGAGCTTGTTTTTTCTCTTTCAGTCATTTGTGGATCTCTTAAAGTTATCACTTTCATAGTTTTCTTAAGAATTTTATCTATTTCAGTTTGACCCTAAATTTTGGATAATACAAATCCTTACCAAAGGTAATTGGCTGACATAAAACATATTAGTTTTAGAAAAAGTAAACAAGTTTTTATTAATTATAATCACATATTCCTATTATATCATGGATAATATAAAAAAAAATACTAGAAGAAATTCACTTCCAACTATATATATTCAACTCCAGGAAACAGTTATGATATCAAAAGGTAAAGTGGATCCATATAAAGAAATTCTATCCCTTCTCTAAGTTCCTCAAGTAGTGAAAAGACTTTTTGAGGTAGAATCTGTGGTCTTTTAGTTTTTCTTGAACTATCCCAATTCAGTGTATGCTTAAATAAAGACTCATCTGATGCCACAGGTATAACAAAGAAGATTCCTTCTGAGGTTCAAATAAAGTAAAGAAGAATATCTCAATTAGATAAGACTTCTTTTAAAAAGAAGCTATGAAATAAAGAAAGAAATTTTTGAAGGGCTTTGAATTATATTTCATTTTTTCATTTTCTCAATTCATACTTGAACCATTCATAGTTTTTTGGAATAATCAATAGTAACAAATTATTGATAATAATCCTGGTTAATTTAAAGATACTATGCCAAGCTATTAGAAGAGTATAATATTGTTCTCTAAATTTGACTTAGAATATTTAATTGAGATTTAGTTTTGTTTAGTTCAAACTAACTTAATGAACTTCTTATATTTTTTATATAGTGTAGTCCTTCAACTAATAATGTACAAAGATGAATTAGTTATTACATGAGGTCTGTGAATTATTTTGATATTTTTTCAAGTATTTTAATAAAGATAAGCCATTTTGACATGATTGTGAATTAAAAAAAAATATAGTATTGTTAATAAAGAAATTATAGTTTTTTTTGACAATAATATAATATATTAAACTATTCTTTAGATTTATATGAGGTTTATGTAACAAAACTCTTTTTGTTGATTCTTTAACCATATACAAAAAAGATGTTCGCAGGAAGTTTTTATACTTCTTTGCTAATAAAGTCTTAATACTTTCATTAAAACAACTTGAAGTATGATTTCAAGAGTCTCTTTACCTTTTTTCTTTTGTTTACAAATCTTTTTACTCAAAAACTTGACTTCAAGTGATCAAGAAAAGTCAAGTAACACCTTTGATATCAATAGTAAGAAAGTTTCTAAAGGAAGAAAAACTGATTGTAAAGTACTTGAGTACCTATTTAACATTTGAAGCAAGAGGTATATAGAGATTTTTGATGACAGAAGTACTTATTTTTTCCTTTCCAGTTACTATTGGACCTTTTAGAACTATTGCTTTCATGGTTTTTTGGAGAATTTTGCCTACCTTAGCTTAACCCTGAATTTTTGATAACACAAATTCTCACTAAAGGTAATTGGCTGACATAAAACATGTTAGTTTTTGAAATGTAAACAAGCTCCTATTGGTCACATTCATATGTTTCGATGACATCATTGATGATTGAAAAGAAGGTTCTAAAAATATTCGCCCCCAAAAAGCTCAAGTCCCTCAATGAAAATTTCTATAATACCAAAAGACCAAGTGATGGGTAATATGGATTGCAAACTCCTATTTCTTACCTAAGCTCCTCAAGTGGTAACAAAGCTTTAATGAAAAAAAGCTGAGGTCTAAATGTTTTTCTTGAGATATTCCAATTCAGTGCTCACTTAAATGAAAGATCAATTGGATTGACTCGTTCGATACCATAGGTGGTGAAAAAGAAGATTTCTTCTGAGATTCAAGTGAAGCAAGAAGACTATCCCAATCAAGCAGATTCTTTTGAGAAGAGGTTGTTTTTATTTTTGGATTTTTTGGTGAGCCTTGAATTGTTCCCTTTTCACAATTATTTTTTCTTTTTCCTCTTTTTAACTTAGCAATTCATTAGTTTTCAGGCAATCAATAGTGACAAACTGTTGGCAATAATCCTAATAGATAGAGGTTATTATCAATCTATTAGGGAAGTGAAATATTGTTTCCAAAATCCGACTTAGAGTACTTTTATATAAAGACGAGTTAGTCACTTTGTGAAAATCTATAAAATATTGTAAATTCATTTCAATTTTTCAATAAAGACATGTCATTGTGATATGATTGTGGGTTAAAAAAAAAAAAAATATATAAGGTTTATGTAACCTTAAGATATAATAAATTTGTTTACACCAATATTAATTTTTGAAACATATGATTGTAGCTACTTTTTTTAAAAATTACTAGTAATAAAAAATTTGTCTTAGTAAAGAAGATTTTGATATAGATAACTTTTATATAACTAAATGGAAAATTAAAGTTGAAATGATAGATACTACATATTATCAATACATTTTTTTTTTTTTTATATAGTTTGACTTTAGCAATTCAATAATTAATGAATAAACTTAATAACTCGCTGATAAAGCTTAAAATCAAATTATAAAATTATGAAAGAACATAATATTGTTTCCTAGATCAAATTTACTTTTTTTGGATTATTGAAGTTCAATTCCTTATCTGTAACAGGTTTGTCATCATGTAAAACCTTGCTTGATTATTTGTATATTTATATATACTGTATAATTAAAAATTAAAATTTCCGATTCTAAAAAAAAAATTATTATTTTTTATATATTGTTTACTTAATCACTATTCGTTTTTACTATTGATTCAATTAACTGGGCCATTAGTGCCTCGAATCTATTAGTAGCATTTAATATTTTACCCCATAAGCATGTCATTATCAGCATTTATATCCTCTTCACCTTTCGTTTCAACAGCCCCATTACCTTCGTTGGAACCACCGTTATCCTCTGGATGTATCTTTTCTGACGACTCATTGATTGGATCATCGGGCCTCCGGGATGGCTCATGTTTCCATGCCTCATCCAAAGTAGATTGTTGTTTTGATGATTGAAAATGAGATGATCTTTGGTGGTTGCTACTTTTTCGCTTTTTTTGTTCGCAGGATTCATCTTTAGGTCTATCATTGTTTTTGCGACCCTCTTTTTTACGATTATTCGAAAAAAATCGGAGTGGAGATAGTGCAGAATTATCCCCTTGTGCATTTAATGATCCACCATTGCCGAATATCATTCGAAAAGGGTAGAGGTTTCCCTCCGGGTTATGTTTTTTTTTAGAGTTGTGGTCATCGATTATGGCAAAGGAAATATGTTTATAGGTACGTGGCATATCCTTATCACCTCCAGCATATTCTGTCAAAATGACCTCGTAAAAGAGTCGAGCTATTGTTTTCGGTGGGTTTTTATAGGCGCCACATCCAAAGGCGCTAAGAACAATTGCGTCATGACCTAATATTTTTTTACGTGTAATGTTAATACATTAACAATGAATGAATCATGTATTCAGTGAATTTGCTCACCATTATCTAATCCTATGTTCAATATCGCTCGAATCTTATGGCGTGTTTTGTTATTTGCGTCAGGAGTTATTGTATATTCTCCAGAATTATCCCTTATAACTTTTGGCCTACGTAAGGCTGCTACTGCCTTTAGGAATTGATACAATTGTATTAAAAAGTATTTTGAATAGTTTCTTTAGCACTCAAATACATACAACAAAAGACATCGTCTCAGGAACTTCCAAAAAAGCGTAATTTTCAGGCTCGCTTGATCTCACAACGGTCGCATTTGGACAATATGCACCACCAAATTCGGGAATTGGATACCATTCAGACTTGTTTGGCTCATGGTATTGGAAAAGATTCGTTCGGCGAAATAAATTTTCTTCTTGAGCTCCCGCGCCCGATTTATATCCTATTACAATAAAAAATAGAATGAAGGTGTTGCTCTGGTTGATATTCTAATCCAGTGACAAAGTACATACCGCCCCCTACACTTGTGGCCGAGGCCATGTTTAAAACCACTGGATTAAAGCCCTGTTTTTTTAACCTTAAAGCTTCAAGAAGGCAATCGCCCTCAACTACTTCGATATATGACTTCTCTTGTTTTTCGGTCACTCTTTCTCTGACCAAAACGGATGCATCTTGATAGAATTTAGCTTTTCTCACTTCAGCAGCTATACTGGGGCCGTCAAGTTTAACAACTTTTTTGGTCTTCTCATGCATATAACTGAGTCCTGTGAAGGCTTCAATTGTTTCTTTCTGAACTCGTACGCGAAAAATCTTTTTTTCAGATGGGTTCATTGCTGCGATACAAAATTACCGTCGTCCAGGTACGCGAATTGTCGAGTTACTCGAAAACTGCACAGGGGCGATGTACAGTACATTATAAAAATGGTTTCGTCACGTGTCTTATAGCCCGCGGGCATGTTAAAAAATTTTTTTCGAATTCTCTTTTTTCCAACATGCGCCGTTTTGTTATACGGAAATGGCCGATGACATAACTAATGACAATACTTTATCAAGACGAGGCCGAGGGCGACTCAGAGGTGTGAGGGTTTCTCAAGGTGCAGTAACCACGAGTCCGCGTGCTCGTGGAAGAGGAAGAGGGAGGGCGTCACCGGATAACCCAATATCGCGAGGGAGAGGTGTCGTTGGAGGAGTTAATTCTCCAGGTAGATCTTTATCACCCGATCTTTCTGTTTCGGGACCTGAGGCTATGGATCTGGAAAGCCGGCCAGCAACCCCTCAAACAAGTAGAGCTCCCTCTCCAACACCATCTCTTGCTTCGGTGTCTAGTGGCATTAGGCGTTTGGGCTCATTACAGCCAGAATTACCACCTCCTGGAAGGTTGGCATCGGTCAGGACAACACCAACCGGACACTATTTTTTACCGACTTCTTCTAAAGTGACACTTCGTGGTACTCGGAGAATGACTTTCGTGCCCACGGTGCCTTTGGCTCATAGGCGCCCGCAGCCGTTAGTTTTCACGTCACGTCTTTTCTTTTTTTACGTTAAAGTACAGTTAACATGCAATTGTCGTTTGTTATAAAAAGAACGATAACCTCGGATTCGATTGTCCCAGATTATTTCGATAATCTTCACAACGATAGTCCATTGGGGGTAGATTTTCGTTTCAATGTTTTATTGATTTAACATATTAGGCAAAAACAATCACAAATAATAGAGCTTTCTTAGTAGGACAATGGTAGCGGTCCCGTTTCAACACGAGGCAGAGGTACTTTTCATTCAGTGATTTTCTGGGAGTTGATCATCTTGTCGGATGAAATATATTTATCTATTTTAGGATCGCGGGGTCGTGGGAGATTTACGTCGGATTTGGTGGCGTCTGGACCATTTGCTTATGGCTCATCAAGTTATCAACCCTGTAAGTGCATGCGCGCGTAAAATATCATGATCATTAAGATCATTGTTCGTGAGCTAATCCGTACAAATTCATCATGGAAAACTAAGTGGGCGCGAACAATAATGGCAGTGAATTTGGTCAACCAATCGTCGAAGAAAAGAAAAATAGATCGGATCTTGCGGCAGATTTCGAGTCATTTCGGGACGATCCATGGGCCCCAGACATGCTTTACACTTATGACAATGAAAAGGATGACAATGCCTCTGGTGTCTTAGAAGGTACGAAAGAATGGTTGACCAAAAAAAAAAAAAAAAAAGATTTCCAACAATCATATTTTCTGCGTTAATAAGTGACAATTAACAAAGGAAAAACTTTATTTTTAGAGGATGAAGATGATTTTAATGGAAAAGAAGGTCCCCTACCTAATGGTTGGGCAGCTGACGGCGATCAGACAATAGAATTCGATGAAATAGTGCGTAAAATATTGAGTTGATCTTTCTTTATTAGACGATATAACTGACGCACGCATGCATTAGGATGAACGACACATTCTGTGTTTTCAGTTGCCCATTTCTTTACCCAAGTTTGAGCAATTCACGCAGCATCCATTGCCGACGGCCAGCAAGGATGTTATTACCGAAAAATCAAAAGGCAAAACAACGGACAAGGTTAAAATCACGGCAGAAAAGATCAAGGGAAAGGAAAAGGAGGTAGACGATAATGTGGATGTCGCCAAGGATGACGATAGTCCAGAAGGGAAAATAGGGAAACTGGTTGTTCGCAGGTCTGGTAGGATACAAATGTTAATCGGGGATTTGGTATTTGATGTAAGTGTTGTTTTTTCATTTTCTAGGTTTATCTTATTTTCAATCGGTTCTTGAACATTCGATAAGCTGATAAATAACCTTTTTAGGTTACACGAGGGTTGAATCGATCTTTTCTAGAGAATGCAGTTGTAGTTGACCCAGATACGACAAGTGTTTATAATTTAGGACCCATAAAAAACCATTTGGTGGTAAAGCCTAATATTTCAAGTTTGTTTGGACCGGGTTAACTTTATGCGCGATCGACCGGTAGTCATGGTTCAATTAAAGATAATAAAGTATGATCGTTGTATGTTAACTTTGTTCATTCAACGAAATGGATTATGAATTTCATAGATCACATGCTATTATGGTCACAATTTAGATGATTGGTTTCAATTTTATAAATGAAATTCTCATAGAGTTGGCTCGAGTTAATTCACACTAACAATATGATCAAATTTTGAAATGTCGAGTTCGGATCGGTTCGACCAATTCGGAATAACTGACTGATCAGTCGATCGGCCATACGGAGGACAAATCGTGTAACCATTAATAGGTACGAAGCGAGGTTTAGACGGAACAATTCGCACTCCTTTATGAACAAGTAATGTTGTTAACTCGCTTCAGGGTTAAAAAAGCGTTAAAGTTTTGTTCGCCCGTATTTCTCCTTTCTTTTTCAAACAAAGAGTATAAGGGTATTATTTATTATGTTTGAAATTGTCATGAAGAGCGAATTGTGTTAATGCTATATATTTCCAAATTTAGACAAACCTACTATCTCGATGACCTATGGTCGTGACTTCATTGAAAAAAAAAAGAATGGAACTTTCCAAAATGCACAATCGATGAAACAGGGAACCTATTCTAAACAAACTATTTTATTGAAAGCCAACTTGTCTCATGAGTACACCGGAGAATGTCATATACATTGTTAAGGTGTCAATGTGGGTATCTTGCACGATTTAAAAAAAGTATGTGCTATTTTTGTAAACTTTTAATCTATCCGGATGTTGAGTATCCATACTTTTGAATAGACTTTCAATTGAGATATAGAATGAAATGCATTTACCCGATTCATTATCCGTAAAGTAGCGTCGTTTAGGATTGGATCAATGCTAGCAATTATTGGAAGCATATTGAACCTCGTTATATTACACTCCAATAGTACGCTCTTTTTTGCGTTAGACAGGGGAGAATATTTTTATTGATGTGTTTGCAGGCGAGAGGATCATGCGGTTTTTTTTTTTCTCAACGTCAACGGTACGCGCGGGAGGACAAAACGCTTCTTTTAAATTCCGATTAATGCTATTAAAATTGAATAGGAGTAACATTTATTCTTTAAACCACGACTGATGTTATTCAATTCGGATGTTTTAATGATAAAACAAAAACTTTTCGTCACACCTCTTATGTTACATATAACGTCGATCCAGGGTTAAAAAAAAAGAGCGTCGCCCTCGTGCGCACAATTTAATGTTTTCCAATAAAGGAAAACGCAATTAATTTCGCCTATGTGGTGTCACACAGGAAAATTGGTTGAAAATGTTTCAAGAAATCATGCCGTATCTCGCCTATCGAACAAATGCCTCCTAAGTTATTAATAGGAGACGGCGAATTCAGATTAGTAGGAAAAAAAAAAAAAAAGAATTTTTAGAGGGTTGCTTCATTCATGCACAATAGAAGTAAGATTTAATTAAGTCACTAGTATAAACCTGAAATAGTCAGAAGATCTAAAAAAAGTTGACACAATGTGTCTTTGACGCCTTTAAAGTTTCATGGTTACGAGAAAATCGGGAGTCAATAATTCATCGATGTCAAAGTTACAATTGTTGTTGTTGGAAGGCTTATTGTTGCGGTTCGACGTTTCATATTGCTTGAACGAGTCAGATTTCTTAGATGCGAGTTAAGGATCAGGCGGTTGCTAGTTCTGCAAATAGGGAATACACAACGTTATTTCGAAGAGAGGTGTTACATCGTATGCCACCTTAAAAAAAAATGTCGGTGTACAATAATGCGCACGCATACGTTTCCGGCCTTTCTAATTTGCTTTTGTGCAAACAGAATTTATTCCGTTTTCGAATTTTCTCGTATACAAAGAGATCGAGTTGATAACTTAAAAATTTTTTTTGTGGATTGAATATGATATATCATGTATAAGATCGATAATAAAATTACGAATTACGCATGCACCAACCCATATGTTCGAGTCGATGTGTCGATAGCCATATTTTCTCGTGATAAACAAGAATTTTGCCTACCAATCTAAATACTGTGCATACATGGCCCTGTGGTTAGTACGTGCGTACGTGGCTCTGAATCTTCGCAACGGTCTCCCATTCCGGCACCGACAGGCAGACGGACCAACCAATCCCTCATCGGCTATTTTTTTTTCAACATGCAAAGTCGATAAACAAAAACCTTTGATCTTTATGGTAAAAGCTAACGTCGTGCCTCTTAAATTAATCTATTTGTGATACATAAGTGATACATATTTCCACTACCAGTAGGTAGTCATGAATAATTAAATATGTAACAATTTAATTAATATAGTAGAATCCTGTGGTGTTTTCACCTCGTAGCTTTATAATCATCCATTGTCTTTGTTTGCACTTTTAATCACTTTCTTTTCTTTTCCTCTTCTTTAACCCATTCTTTTAAACCATTACATTACTTTGCATATAATTTTTCCTTAACCCATCTTTTCCTTTCTCTCATTAAACCCTTCTTTGTTGCACACACCCATCTCCTACTGTTTGATTTAGAGTTTCCAAACCCATTCATTCTACTGGTCTTTTTAGGAAAGAACTAGGAAATAAGGCACTAACGAAGAACTTCATTTATCAAAACGACCTCTTCACGTCTCTTGTCACATTCAACAAAATTGTCACTGCCGTTTAACTTAATGATGTGAATGCATAATAATAATTCCCCGACGACATAATATCATTTTACAAAATCTCTCTGCATAACAAAATAGCTCGATAGATCCGTTGTCATATTTTCTAGAAAATTTATTTCACCTTTTTTACAACCCTCTAAATCTTATCTGCAACTGAATTTACAATATCCATTCATCTGCAACACCGAACCCTTGGAGAAACGGTTCATGCGGAATTCGTTCCTAACAATTCGAATACGCATGCGAACGATTTCTCATTTTCACACATCTCCTTCTCGAATAATTCACCTATTAACCTGAAGATTTTTTCTTTTTTTTTTTTTTTTTTCACAACCACCGACAACAATCCTGCAGTAAAGACAGCTATTGAAGAAGAGGAAAAGGAATCACTATTAGCATAAATTCACGGGAATGGTTAGGCTTCCGTCGATAATATGGCTATTGGTGATCAGTGTAGGCTTGGTGTGGGTTCTGTGCATACACTTGGGCACAGATGTTGGAGTAATGGTTGTAGGTGGGCGGGACTCACCTTACGGACAAATTCAAAACGTAGTGATGAAGAGACATAATTCAAGTATTGATGATGGTACGGGTCCGACGAGCACTTCAAATGGCTCGGGCGGCGACAGTACAGACCCGACGGAGACTTCGGGCAGCAGTACGGATTCAACCAGCACTCCCGATAACAATACGGGTAACATAGATCCAACGACCACCTCTGATACCACTGGACATTCCCATAATGATAGCACTAATCAGTCTAATAATAATGCGGACCAGAACACCTCTGACTATAGTACAGATTCAGCGACCACCTCTGATAGCAGTACGGATCCAACCAACACCTCTGATGGCACTACAGATCCAACCACCACCTCTGATACCACTGGACATTCCCATCATGATAGCACTAATCAGTCTAACAATAATGCGGACCAGAACACCTCTGACTATAGTACAGATTCAGCGACCACATCCGATAGCAGTACGGATCCAACGTCTACTGATAATAATATGGATCCAACGGTCACTGATAATAGTGTGGATCCAACTACCACTTCTGATGGCACTACTGATCCAACGACCACCTCTGGTACCACTGGACATTCCCATCACGACAGCACTAATCAGTCTAATAATAATGCGGATCAGAATAACACCTCTAATAGTAGTGCGGATCCAACGACCACCTCTGACAGTAGTACGGATCCAGCGACTACTGATAGCAGTACGAATCCAACATCTGCTGATAATAATATGAATCTAACTATCATATTTAATAGCAGCACGGATCCAACCACCACATCTGATAGCAGTACGAATCCAACGACCACCTCTGGTACCACTGGTCATTCCCATCACGACAGCACTAATCAGTCTAATAATAATGCGGATCAGAATAACACCTCTAGTAGTGCGGATCCAACGACCACCTCTGATAGTAGTACGGATCCAGCGACTACTGATAGCAGTACGAATCCAACATCTACTGATAATAATACGAATTCAACTATCATCTTTGATAGCAGCACGGATCCAACGACTACCTCTGTTAATAGTGCGGATCCAACGACCACCTCTGATAGCAGCACGGATTCAACGACCACCTCTGGCGACAGTGCGAATCCAACCACCACCTCCGGTGACACAACCACCACCTCTGATAGCGGCACGGATTCATCAACCACCTCTAATAGCAGCACGGATCCAACGACCACCCCTATTGACAATAAGGATAAAATGGCCACTCTTAAGAATAGTACCACTACCTCTAACGACAGTACTAATCCGACGAGCATCTCTGATAGCAGCACGGATTCAACGACGACTACCTCTAACAGCGGTACTAATCCGACGACTACCTCTAACGACCGTACTAATCCAACGACCACCTCTGATAGCAGCACAGACCAAACGACCACTCCTATTAATAATAAGGATCAAATGGCTACTCCAACGACCACCTCTGATAGCGGCACGGATCAAACGACCGCCTCTAATGGTAGCACAGATCCAACGACTACCTCTGACAACAATACGAATCCTACTACCACTGATAACAGCGCGAATCCAACGACCACTCCTATTAATAATAAGAATCAAATGGCCACTCATAATGATAGTACTAATCCGACGACTACCTCTAACGATAGTACGAATCCAACTACCGCCTCTAATGGCAGCACGAATCCAACGACCACCTCTAATAACAATGCGGATCCAACGACCACTTCTAGTGGCAGTACGGACGTAATCAGCACCCCTAACGCTAGTACTAATTCAATCAATACCTCTAGCGATAACACAAATTCAAAGACCACCTCTAGCGACAGTAAGGATCCAACGACCACTCCTAATAACAGTAGTGCTGATCCGACGACTACCACCCCCCATAAAAATGCGAATCCAACGACCACTCCTAATAACAGTAATGTCAACCCGACAATTACTTCTGGCTACGATACGATCGCCTCTAATACTAATACGGGTTCAACAACCACTCCTAAAGTCCCTAGCGATAGTACTAATCCGACGACTAACAGCAATACGGATCCAACTACCACGGGCGATTCCCCAACCCCCACTGCAACTTCCACAGCTGGTTCCTCTGCGGAAAACTCCCAAATAACTTCCACAGGTTCTCAAGCTACTCCTACTCCCGCGTACAATACCCAAATTACCACTACCTCTGCCACAAATACTGATTCTAACAGCAATACGATTACTAATGATGGGGCATCACCGACATATACAGATTCCACGACGACCTCTGATGCCCCTTTCGTTCCTAACATTAGTACTGGGTTCACTTTACCGACCGAACCGCTGGCTTCGGTCACGCAAACAGCGGTAGTATCGAATTTACCAGCTGTTATTGAGGTCAATCCTTCCGAAGTTCCACGTATGTAATAATCATCATGAAAGTTTGTTTTTAGTTGTTCAGCCCTTACCGCGCTTCTTTCTAATTTAACAACGCACGACTTTTTTAACGATTGGTTTCTTTCATTATTTAAAACAGCTGACTCAACTGAAGTACAGATTGAGCTCTTACCGAATCTACCGTGGATTAATGTAGTGTCCAGTAGCTCAACCTCAGCAGTCATAGTCTATTATCTGCCGCTAGAATTGGAACAGGCAGCCCAGATACCACCTAAACGTATTGTAGTGATAAGTTTGGAGATGTCATCCGAGGGTGGGGTGCTAGTGAATTTGGTCGTACCTACAATATATATGGCGGATACTACTGCGGTAGTATCTGATTCTACCAGTTCACTTTATTCTCCGAACAACGTTGTCGGAAAATTGGTTAACCCCAATTATCCTTTGGTGAATAATATGCAAGGTACTTATGTGCATATATTATGATGATTTGGTAGATTAAAAATGTCTGACTGATATACTTACCTTTCATTCTTTTTTGCCTAAAAGCACCTGAACAAAATAACGGTGGTTCACAGAATAATAATGATCAAATAACTAGCGGAAATGATCTAGGGGAAAATACAGACAACACGGGTTCAGATAATTCCAAGAAACCAATTGTAGTGGCTGCAGTGGTGGGGGCGACAGCATTATATGCGGGATTAACGGCGTTAGTAATTAAAGCATATCAAAAACGTAGAAGACGATCCGAGGAAAAAGTATGAAATGTGAACGGATGTGAAGTTGACCGTTAGGTAACAATTATGGCACCTCCAAGTTAAAATGTATAGAGTTCTAAGACTACCATCAGAACAAACTGGATCATAGGAAATCTGAAAATAGTTGCATTATCTTCCATTTTACTTTGTACAAATACATTCAAACAACAATTGATTGATCGATACTTCCTTATTTTCAATTGACTCTATTTTTAAATTTGCATCTATTCAGTCTCACTTTCAATGTACTGTACATGCAATAGAGAGAAACGCATTGCATACAATAGATTTTTTCATTTTGCTTACGACTCATCATACAATATATAGATTGAGAGGAATGTAATGGGATTTTTTATCCATTGACTTAGACTGCAAGAATTATTTCCTTTCACATAAAAATTTCGATCCCTCATTACTTTTTAATCATTATTAGCTTAAGCCATTGATTCTATCCTTTTTACCAGGGTTTTTTCAATATGGCGACATATAAATATTTTTTTTTCGAATTAATGAATACAACCGAGAATTGATAAACAACATTTAATTGTGTAATATACTGTACTTTGTTTCATCTTTGCGTCTTTTTAAGAATTTTTAATATATACGATACATCGAGAAAGTTTTTTGAACAAATTTTGGCATCTCATGTAACCTTTTCATTTTTTAACTTTTCGAAATGAAAAAAAGTTACCTAGATTAATTCTGTGATACAAAAATTTGTCCAAAGACTTTCTTGGTGCACTGCATATACAGTATGTGTATATAACAGACATTATCGTTAATTGACATATGAAAGAACAATCACATCGGTAGTTTTTTAGTACGGCAAATGGGTTGCAGACTAAAAATCCTACGCCTAAAATTATCTCGCGCGATTCGATCCGACCCGATCTGCACGACCAAAGCTATTTTTCGCGCGTAACTTGGGCCACCTATCCTTTCGCGTAACCCAGCTAGCTTCGCACACCCAAAGCCAATTCCGCGCATCTCAAACTAACTTCGCGTGATCTCTACCTTTACTTTTATTCTAATTTTCAAAAAAAAAAAAAAAAAAAAAAGAAATATATATATATATATATATATATATTTTTTTTTTTTTTCTTTCCTCATCCATTTTCTCACTTCGATTTAAATGCAGGATTGCGAATAAATCAATCTATAAGTGATTTAAATGATCATAATAATGAAGACTTTTATATGTATACTGTATTCTAAATATTTTGAGGGCGAATACCGGAGAACTTGAAAGTTGTCATTGATGCATCCCATTCTGGGCATTACACGTGCAAACATCACGTGAGGCGCATCTCCTATCATTTAATTAACTCTTTTCCAAGTTAGTAAATGAAAACTTTTTTCTTTTACAAATCAAGTATTGAGCAGCCTAATCCGCATGAACAGTGTGTATTGCAACCGTTATAAAAGAAAAAAATTTTTTTTTTTTTTTTTTGATCATTTCTCCTTTGTCCCATGACAAATTTCAATTGTTCTAACTAACACACTAAAGTCGAAATTATCGATCGTGACCTCTTATCTTCTTTTTGAGCTTTCCAAATCTGTGGGTCATTCTTAAATATCGAAGTTTGATCATAATTTCCATGGCCAATCTATGTTTGCGATAGATCTTGACTTGCAATCAATTTCAAGTTTTATTTTACCTTTATCCGATCCTAATTACGATTAATATCCGGGCATTTTTTTGTGCCCAAATTCTTTAGTAGATTTTCATCATCTTCGTTATTTTCGTCGAAACCGGTGACTGTCACTTTCGAGATGGGTCAGAGTCTTTCTGTAGCTCGAGAATTTTCGGACACCCTGGCTTCGTCGAAGAAACGCCCGGCACTTTTGATTCTTGTGATAGTTGTGGGGTACCTTATTAAAAAACGTGCTGAACAAGATAAGAAAAAACGGGAAGCTCGTTTCGGTGGCCGAAATGCGGCGGAGGGTCAGGATAATAGTCGACGAGCGAAAAAAGTTGGTGTTGACGCACGATTTTTCGCGCAGATCAAAAAGCTGTTACCCATTTGCATACCTGGTTAGCAAAGGTTATCAAAATCTTGTCAATTTCTCGTTCTAAACACTCATGCTTTTTTTTTTTTGCGGGTGATAACAGGTTTGGCTTCCAAGGAGAGTGGTTTCCTAATTAGCTTGGCATTGATTCTTATTGCACGAACGTGGCTTGACATATGGTACGTTGTCCCGTTACATTGACAGATCCAGGGAAAAGAATTTTTACCAAATATCACTGACTGACTTTTAGATTATGTCATTTTTGTCCTGATCTTAGGTTTTCCGGTTTCAATGGGTAAATATGGGATACTAACTATATCTAACCAGTCGCAGTTTAACAAAAGCAGAACGAAACTATGAGGTAATAAAGTTAGTGTAGTAACATGTTTCTTTTTTTTATCAAACTAGTCATGTCGTCAAAGCCATCGTATCCCGTGATAAGAAAGCATTTATTGCGCGAGCAGTGATAGAGTTCGGGTTTATGATGGTAACTAACTATGGTGCAAATTCTATTCATTAATCTCTTTGGTGAACGTCGTGTATAGTCGTTTTTAAATACAATTATAATTCTAGTGGCCGATGAGTATAGTCAATAACTCGTTGAAACTTACGATTAGCGCGTTGGCCTTATCATTCCGGACTCGGCTTGCTAGAGTAAGAGGCGTTCATTCATATCTTCCGTTATATCTTGGTTATTGCATTATTAACGGAAGCTCTTTTATACTTTTTTTAGTACGCCCACAATGAATATTTGAAAAATATTACATTCTATAAGATTTCCAATATCGACAATAGGATTCAAAACGCTGACCAGCTATTGACGCAGGTATACTTTAAGTTGTTCGTTATCATTATCGTCATTTTTTTTATTATTACTATTTTTTTTTATTTTATTGTTATTATTATTTTTTTTTTTTTTTGAAAAAAAAAAATGATATAAATTTATAATTGCGAATTAATATTATCCTTTTTTTATCTGAAAGGACATTGATAAGTTCTCCGAAAATCTAAGTCATTTGTATTCAGATATTGCCAAACCTATTGTGGACATAATCTTGTTCGCTTACAAATTAGGAGAGGCCATGTATGTAATCATTGATCAGTAATTGTATAATTTTTTCGTAATCTTATTCCCATTTGTAATATTTTCATTTGCTTATTTATTAAGTGGTCGAGAAGGTATGTTTGTTGATTGATCGGAAGGTATGAGCCATTCAGTCATCTTACGGTATTTTGCCATTTTATAGCGCCAATTTATATCATCGTATATTTTATGGCGTCGGGTGCTATCCTTCGTGCATTTTCCCCTCCATTCGGAAAATGTATGTTACTATATATATATATATTTTTTGTCTGCTTCGTTTCATTTTCATGTCACATGATTTAATATATATATATATATATATATATATATATTTTTGGTTTATAGATACTGCCATTGAGCAAAAGCTTGAAGGAGATTTTCGGTTTACCCACGTATGTATTTTTTTTCTCTATTTATAGGTACTTATTTTCTCATTAATATATAACACACCAATATTCTTTCTTAGTCACGTATAATTACTCACTCTGAAGAAATTGCTTTTTACGGTGGTGGTGAACGGGAATTAAGCGTGGTTAACGGAAGTTTTGACAAAATTATTAAACACGTGAAGAAAATATACCGACTTCGTTTCATAAACGGTATATTTGACTCCGTATTGGTCAAGTATTGTGCGACAATGACAGCCTATTAGTAAGTGAATGATGGTGATCTAATAAACTTTTAATCATTTTCAAGCTTTAATCGGTACTTTCTTTATTTCAACCTAGCTTATTGGCGAGACCCGTATTTGATCCAAAATATGGTACGATGTCGAAATATTTTATATGCATGCATCTCTTAGAGTGTCTCATTAATATTGACTTTAAAATAGCTACCGAATTCATGGGTAAACTTGATGCCGATCCCACAAAGATTATGGAAGACTATTCGAGAAACTGTAAGAGCAGTAATTTTAATGAAATTCTTTTTCACCATTGTGTCACAGTTTTCTAAATGAATTGCATTTGCTTTCAGCTGGCTACCTTGTAAACCTTTCGCAGGCTATAGGCAGATTGATCCTGGCCGGTCGTGATCTCACAAGATTCGCAGGATACACCGTACGTTCAATTCTTCTCATGTGCAGAGATGATGGAATTTACTCATGCAATTTATTTTACTTTAGTCTCGTGTGGCGGAACTTTTTGACGTCCTCGAGGACGTCAACAAAGGCAGATATGAGCGCACCATGGTTAGCAAAAATTCAAAAGAAGCTAATGTGAGCAAAGGTATAATAAACTGACCAAGTTGTTTGGAGGATATACCTCCGGGTATACGCATATGTGCTTTCAGAAAATTGATGCCTCTCATTTACACTTGTAGCCGTGACACCGAATGATCTCAAGGGTAAAATCATAACTCAAGATGGTGTCATCATATTCGATAAAGTTCCTATAGTGACGCCGAACAATGATATATTGGTAACTCTCATTGATGTCATTTCCTTATTCTGAGCTTATTCACTTTACTTAAATTGCCTCGAATATATTTAGATAAAAGAGTTATCGTTTGAAGTAAAGACTGGAATGAATTGTCTCATTTCAGGACCTAATGGATGCGTAGGTTTTAGCGAACTTCAATTTGTTTCGGAAAATTCCCATTCATCACGTATAAATATTTTTTCTATAGGGTAAAAGTTCGCTGTTTCGTATTCTGGGCGATCTATGGCCATTATTCGGTGCGCACAAAAATTTCAAATCATTGGTGTAATCGCCTTCGGAATACTAATTTAAAAGAGATGCATATTATAGATGGTACTGTCACGAAACCACAATCTTCCAAACTCTTTTATGTACCACAAAAGCCCTATTTGGCGCTCGGAACTTTCCGCGATCAGGTAATTTATTTTACCTTTTTAATTGTAACTGTCTCTACACACTTGCATGTTAACAAATTCGTAAAACAGATAATTTATCCCGATTCTCAAGTCATCGCTCTTTCCAAAGGATTTGATGATGGCAAACTAAGGGAATTGCTCGGCATTGTTCATTTGGATTATTTGATTGAACGAGATGGAGGTTGGAATGCAATTCAAGATTGGGCCGATGTTTTGTCAGGCGGCGAAAAACAGGTGACCTATTATAATTTTTCTTTTTACTATCATCGTTTAGCTGACTGTTTGTATTTTTGTAGAGAGTGGCCATGGCTAGACTTTTCTATCATAAACCTCAGTTTGTAAGTAACTTGATTTAATTTAATGTCGCCTTCAAAACTTTATCCAATGGATGCAATTTTGAATGATCAAAATTCTCTAGGCTATTTTGGATGAGTGTACAAGTGCCGTCAGTGTTGACGTTGAGGGTATAATGTATACCCATGCCCGTGAATTGGGGATCACATTATTCACGGTCTCCCACAGACCTTCATTGGTGAGTTTATGGAACGATTTTTGGGTGTCTCTCTTCGTTTGAGTCATATTAATTCCCACGTTTTACACAATTTTCTTATCTTACGACCAACGAAATATTAGTGTAAGTTATCTCTTCCCTTATTTTAGCTATGTTAGTGACAACACTAATGAGTATTTTTACGTACACTGTAGTCAAATATCACGAGTGGTTACTTCGGTTTGACGGAGAGGGCGGCTATAGCTTCGATAGGTAAAGTTTGCAGGATACGGATGTATTGTGAGGTTCTCTGTATTTACTAATTATTTTATACAAAAGGCTTGAAGATAGCGACTCCATAACACCGTTCGCCTTTTCTCACAATAAGACCGGAAAGAATAAATTCGTGCTAGAAGATGTGCAAGCTGACGTTGAGGAAAATGCTCCAAGCAATGAAAATATCGAGTAAACATCGTCGTTTTTCGAATTTATCACCATTAATTTCGTTAAATTATTATGAAATATAGATAACTTAGAATTCACTAGGTTATATTGAGAATATAGATTGACTCTTTAACTAATCTGATTAATAGCCGGATGGTTCCTATTTACTGTAAAACTTAATAGGTGATGCGATGTTCACTTAATAATCTGTAATCTATATAGTAAGCCCTATTTACAACATCATCATCGTAGCTTGAATCACATGATCGCCTTCAAAAATTTGCGTTCGTGTTGATCTATTTTTTTTTAAATAATAATATGGTAAAGATATATTTATTTGGAAAGTGTATTTTTAATTCGATCATATTTGTTTTTACTATTGGAAAAACAAAGTAAATAAATGAACAAACCTATTTTTGTTATTTAAAAAATATATTGTATGTTAAATCATAAACAATATTGTTTTCATTTTTTAATTAAAAATTATTGCTTGAATTGATTTTTTCTTTGTTTATTATTATTCAAAATATTGTTATTATCTTGTAATATAAAAATTGTTGTTATCTTGTAATATAAAAATTGTTGTTATCTTTTTAATATAAGAATTATATTATCTTTTTAATATAAATATTATTACTTTTTTAATATAAATATTTGTTAGATTAATTATATCAATTATTTCAAAAAAAAAAACTCTTTCCCGTAGATCCTTTTTTTCAGAAAATTTCCTTTTTAGACAATTTTCTTCATTTTTCTCTGGCTTCGTAAAGAGTTTTTCAAGTTACCATGTCACTCAAAACTCGAGCACAATATAGAATGACTCAACAATAACAACATAACACAAATACAGTTTCAAGTAATACAAGAAGTCGTACTCAAAACCAAGAAACAGAGGAAGAAAGAGTCGAAGCTATCTTTCCAGCTACAACCAATAACACTACACATATCCCAGCAAAACAAACAGATACTGGTTCAATCTTAAACAGAATATCCAATATTGAATACGATGACACAAATAATCAAAACAGCACTTCCTCCACTCCTAGAGATTTTCACTCTGAAACAAACTCTGAAATCAATTGGTATGAAGAAACAGAGCACTAAACTCAATACCATGACAAAGGAAAAAACAAAGCAGAGGACAGGGAACCCACTGCAAGATCATTTCCAACTGACTGGAAAGTTGAATATGAAAGGAAAAGATTTAAACAAACAATTCCTATCGAAGAGGTTCCTGGCAGAGACAATCAAAGTAAAATCTAAAATTTAGCAAAACACTTTGTCAAATTCCAATCCTTTTTACATATCAAGATTGATAATTCATGAAATGCAAAACTGATCACTGCTTTATTTGGAATGAAAAAGATGCAAATAAAGCTGAAAATCTCATTATTGATGACAACACTATCATTCATATGTCAGCAACACCCATATATGATAGTATTGCAGCCAAAAACAAAAGCATCTGAGCATAGAACATTCCACTTAATGTCACACACAATGAGGTGCGCACAGCCTTTACTAAATTTGAAAAAATTCAATCTCTCAAAATGCAAACAATCGACATGTGCAAACAGCCACAGTGAAATATAAAAATCAAGAAGATTATAAGAAAATCCAAGCCAGATAGGCAATGCCTTTCAAAGGAGATCTTATTCACATCTACCCCTTCCTTAATACTCACCAAATCAAAACAGAACGAGACAAATATACAATCAAACTAGTCAACCTTCCTCCAAGTAATATAGGCTTTGACCTTAAAGAAATAATTGATCAAATCAAAGCCCAAACATGCTATATTTCAAGAACCTCTCAATATCAACGAAAAAGATTTGTTATCTTTAGCTTCAAAACAGATAAACTTTTAGAAGCTGCCAAATCCTTTTCTGCAAAACTTGGTAATACTGAACTCACTTGGATTGATTTAGACACTAAAGCGTACAATCTCTGCTCCAGTATGAAACACATGATCAAAGATTGTCCGATTCAAAACAGACAACAACATTTACAAGTTAAAAAACAAGAAAATGCCAGGAAATTTGTGTATCTTTATAACAGATACAAACAAACCCAGTGGATACTCCACCAACACACAGAGACAAATCTTATAAAGAGATCGCACCAAACCTTCTTTTGCTGAAATTGTAAAGCAAATTGTACTCCCTCATTACAAACCGGTACTTCCTAGGGGATACCATGGAATGGCCTGTTGCTATCCTTTTTGGGGGAAACTAACATGCCAAGAACTTGCCTAAAATGCTCAGCACCACCGGTGTTGGGGGTGTCTTATACAAGGTCTAAAAACCTTGTTAGTGCTGAAAAGGAAAAAAAAAATATATATATATATGGATCTGTCCTGTGTCTTGACTGGAACGTGGTCTTGTATCACAGAGCTTTTGTCGCCCATCTATTGAGAAACTGTTTTGTGTGGTCCTTGTGTTTTTGTGGGTGGTTGGGTCCATCTTTATGTGCAGTCCATGGGATGAACAGTCCGTGAGCTTGTTTACTCTTCCTTGATGGCCAATGATTTAGGAGGTTGTAGTGTCCTGTATCCATCCGTACCAGCACATGACTTATGTTGGACCCAGGTTCTTATGGAGCTGAGGAAATACATTCAGATACGTGAGGTGGCCAATGAAAGCTTGTTTATTAATATTGTCCAACGCGTTTCATGTCAACCAATCAGAATCAATGGAATTCGTGCTACCTGAAATTTCAGGATCAAGCTGGGGTAGACAAAATTCCCTAAAAAGCCATGAAAAGTGGTAGCTCTAAGAGAGCACACAACCATTCAAAGGATGAAAAATGAGTCCTTTGGATGGGAGAGACCCTTTCTCAAGTACTGTTTTGTTTCCTCCACTTCATCCGATAGGTGGCGGATATTCTACTGTTGGTCATTCTCCCTTGAGGAACTTTCTTGCTATTGGTAGTCAAGGTGAGTGCTGGACTTTGTAGGTTACAAGAGTCCAGTATTGTTCGTAGGAGATTGTAGATAATGGAGGGAAGTAGTGGAGTCCTGAGAGAAGCCCCTTCAGGTTGGTTTAAAGAAAGTATTAAGACTTTATTAGCATAGAAGTGACAAGACTTCTGTGAACATCTTTTTTGTATATGGTCAAAGGATCAGCGAAAAGAGTGAATAAATCAATACTTCTATTATGATTCATAAATCAAGTTAATATAAATAAGTTCTTAATATTTCATAATAATATAATAAAATCAAATATTATATTTTCAATTTGACATCTATTATATTAATCTACTCTATTTCAAATAATTATCAAATTTTCATTATTTTTCATAAATGGTTTCTAAAAGTTCAATATTTTATAAGATACTTTATAATATTTGATTAATAAGTTCAATATTTTATAAGATACCTATAAATTTGATTTTTTCAAATATAAGAGTTCACTTAAAAAATATATATATATATATTTTTTTTAATACCCTTGATCAGGCCAGTACTGTATATTTATTAATCATTGAGAAAACTGATTGAGATATATAGGGTAATTGCATTATAGCTAAACTAAAATCTCATACTGACACACTTGTCAATAGCTTTCAATTCTCAAAAGAGCTTCAGCCTCTATGTGCAACCTTGAGGACAATATTTCACTCTAAACTAAGTTTTGGGTAAAGACCCTCCTAACTTATCCATCATTGCTAGCAGATTGTCACTGCTTATTATCCTCCAAGGAACTGAATTCAAGAAA